AAAAATGCTGCTATGCACATGTGTGTTTAGACGGGTACGTCTTATAAAAGGATACTTCAAATACTTCCCAGATAACAGTGTCCTAGTTTCAAAGGATTTACTGGTGCTAGGTCGGACCAAAGGGTTTTTTGCACGTAGAAAATTGCCATCAGATCAAATATATTTGAACAACGGATAACTACTCAGTGTTTCCAGGATGCTAAAACAGGTTAATACAAGTAAACCGCATTTATTAAATAAGAAGAGGCGGTAAGGCTGATAAGGTGCTTGGATTACAGCGTATTTTAGGAGCGAGAACTATTCGCAAAATTACTAGGAAAAAAATCGTTGCCTGTTAAAATCGCAACCAACAAACCAACAGATAAAGGTCATTCGGCCAGACGTAGAAGTTGACGTTATTGCGAATCCAAGTTCATCGACTTAGGTTAGTTCTCCAGATCGTATCCCACGAACTTTCCAAGCATATGTAAAGCTCATCTAGCAGTACACTACTGCTTAAGGACGCGATTAAGATTTCCATTCCTATTTGTACTGTTATTACCATATACGATGACTTGCGCACGAGCATGGCGGGCCCACGGACACTCACAATTTAACCAATGTTCCCCGATATAAAACCATAGTCCAGTATTTCTTTTCAATATGTTGCGTCGCAGTCCTTTAGATTGAACGGCAACGGGTGTGCACAGTCTTCTTGCCAAAAAACATAGTCTTTTCGATATATCCTAACACCCTTGGGTCTAAAATTTTGAAGCACATGTAACGCACATAAGACAATAAAAATGCCCATTTTGGAATATGTTCTACTTTAGACTCTCATTTCCCGGATCCTTTTCAATGAAAACCGTCCGTATTTACTTGTTAGCCGAGCCCATCAGTTCTTTAAACCTTCAGAAGTCCCACTTCGCTACAAACGAAAGCACAGGACACGGACCGTGCATAGCCATGCTTTTGGAATATCACTGCATGATACAATACAAACACATGGCGGTTAGTTCGGCTGTTGCCGTCCATCTGCACCACCTTTGCATACTGAGAAAACAGGGCTGGCGTTCCAAAGATAAACGCCTCCAGCCCCTTTTATCCATCCTTGAAGTAGGACAGATTGTCCCCCTTCATATTACACAGGGCTTCCGTCATCCCTATAGCTGTCGGACCCAAGTGCAAAATGCGGCGTTGCACGTTTACAAGACCTTTCATCTTGTAGTTAATTCCAAAAGACAGGACAGGGGTCGAGAGTGAATCCCAAAGCAAAATGGAGCGAATGAGTTCCGTTAGCGTAAGTGAGCCTTCCTCAATGAATATCAATAATGCCGATTTAAATTAGCAAGATAATGAGTCCGCGGGTCAATGTTTAGAGCGTCGGACGATTGGTCAGCAGGTCAGGGGTTCGAGGTTCGTGCGGTACACAACAGGGAGCTGGGTATGGTTGACTGGTAACGTCCAGTCCTCCACAAATAGCCATTCCAGTCTCCCCGTCTTTGCTGACCATATCCATCTGCCTGAAGAGGATGTCATTTTGGGCCTGCTGGATTCGACCGTGGCCGTATAAACTAAAAGAAAGAGTCAAATGTCGTCACTACATATGCGTATCTATGCAGAGGATCGCTCCGTTGTCTCTTGGTCATAAGAAAACACCAGGAATCTTAATGAGTCCCAAACTACCTGACCAGTTTCTGTGACTGTTTCCGATGATGGGTTCGCGGGAGAGTCTCAAATGTCAGAACGACTTTGAGCCATAGCAGACCGAGACTTCAGGGCACGAAACCTCATTTCCCCCTGTTTCTGATTGATCCACTAGGCGCCATCCATGTTCAGGTCCATGCTTGTACGCGCCAACACCTCGGACCATTTCGCTACCAGATCAACAAAGAGAATTCTCGTATTAACGCAACGGCGTCAAAAATACTGGATGAACTCAAGAGCCTTACAAATGGATCTAAGTCTCGAAATGAGGGCTCTCTCGCCAGCTCCGGAAAGTAACAGCAATGTTAATACGTGAGCATTGTAACTGAGATCACACCTCCCTCAGATGCGGACCTCTTACACCGAGAGACTGCTTCGCGGTTTGAGTTCCGGCTTTATGACTGACGTTGTCGAACTCTCATTTGTGCGCTCGGATAGCAAATTCCTGCAATTTCTTCCCAAGTGCAAAAGTTTGACCACCCTAGCGACTTGTGCTTTGTCTTGTTACCTCCCCCAACCCTCTGTTTACAGAGGCGTTGAAGTTTACAGGTTTTTAGTTTACGCTCTGCTACATTGACTTCATAAAATGATTGAGCATACGTGATGCGATAAGCTTTCATTTAAAAACTTTCTTTGGCAATCTCTGTGCCTGTAGAGGAGTAATAAGACCACGACATTAGTGTCGGTGGCGTCGTTGCCGTCGTCGATTTAAGACGCGTTCATGATGTCAAGACGAAACCAACTGGAAACCAGAGACGAGATCAGGCTGAAAATTGCTACGTTCACTGTACATTCCACTGCAGCACATTCTTCCACCAGCAACCGAAGTCCGTCTACTTTTCTGACTTCACTTCGGTTGTTGTGACGGTTGGTGGAGATAGGTTGTGTGTCGAGAGAAATTCTCTCATTGTTTAAAACCTGCTGTCCTCCACCACTATTCCAGTCATGGTACATAAAACTCTTTTCCAACAGTTTGATATTCGATCTCTCATGTAAAGAGCTTCC